CTCGAATTTAAACTGATTGTTCAATACGATTTAGTTTGTAATGTATGATTAGTTCAACTTTTTTTAATCTCTCATTTATCCATTTTAATCTATTTTTATTAACAGATCATACTATACGACCAAAATTGTACGGTATGAACTTCAAAAAATTTAAACTTATAAGTTTCACTTAGTCATGTGCATGTGCATGATTACTAAGCTAACATACACCTTTTACAGAACAATTGACTCAAGAAATATAGAAATCAAATCTATTGTACCCATTTTCTTGAGTCTTGATCATTTGTTGATACATGATGTAGGATGTACCTGAAATGTTAGCGCATGCAAGAGAAATATGTAATAATAATACTAGGAGAAATAAAGTAAAATTCAATAATGTTTGTTATCATCAAAATTATAAGCTCGGGATCCTAGATTGTGATAATCTCCACTATTTTATAATAACATTATTGGTTGAATTTTTAAGTTTATTTTATTTTCTCCTAATCTCCCTCTTACTAATTAATTTCTTTTAAAAAAAGCAGAATTTTTTTATTTTTTTTAATATTAAGAATAACAAGGCACAAACAAACACAAGAACAATCTAAAAAAACTGAACTAAATCAAACAGCAGGTACAACCAACAGACATCATACTCTCCCTTTCGACATCACCAAAAAGGAGAATAAACTAACCGAGAAAAACAATAAACAACACAAAATACAGCACTAAAGAAAGCTACAACACATCACATTGATAAAAGTAGGAAGGTTCCTAATCAGGTCGTGGCGATGGTAGCTGAAAGTACGGGTGAATGGTAGAAAATTGGTCGTATCTTCAGGTAGTCAAATATCTCAACCATCATGTCGTAGAGTTGGGACTAGTATTCAGGAGCTGGTGCTGGAAAATCTCCCCCTTCCTCATCGAACTCGTGCTCTTCCTATAAGGGCTCGTCCCCTCGGTGTCTACGAAAGAGAACGTGGAAAGAACTATCAGTACAGTAAATTAGGAATATGAACGTCGGTTCAGGATACGTGAGCTAGTATTTCATGTTTAAGACAAAGGTAACAAGGTGTCCTAGAGCTAGATTTTACCTATGCTGGGCTCCTTGTCGCCTAGTGGAGGAAAGAATTTTGAAAATATCAAATAATCATATTGGCAGCGTCAAACTCAATGCCAGAGATGATCCAGTAAATGACAAGTAATAGTAGTGGGGTGATTTTGATTCAATCTCTAGTCTTAGGTAAAACGGAGGTTGGAAAGACATGTTGGATGATACATGTATTCTAATTGAGCGTATGAGCAAGTGACTAGTATTGATTCAAAGGGATATTTCTGAGGGTAAGATTTACATAAGTCCAGTCATAATCACCCCTAGTTAATAAAATATGTGGCTTGACTTATATGTTAGAAAGGCGAAAAATTTCAGAAAGGTCATGAGAGGTGATATCTACAGGACGCCTACAGACATAGGACTGCATGGTGGTATGCTCGACATTGATTCTCAAACTCGCAAAAGTTCATAGAGAAGTTTAGAATTGAAAGAAAAATTCATAGTTAGAATAAATTGAATGGTCGTGTTAACAACACCACCTGTAACAGGCCAAACTTTAACTATCAAGATATTATTTGTTTTGATTTAAGGGTCTCATGATGTTGTCTTGTTAGTGTAACTTCCCAAGAGGTCACCCATACAAGAATTTATTCGGGATGAGCATGCTTATAAAGTTTTTTAATGAAATTTCAATGATTATACCAAAAGGTGCCTCGATCATTAAGAGTTTAGCTTCCTATAACATAAGGGGTCATAATCTCCCGTAATTAACAAACTATATGGCTTGACTAATACGTTAGAAAGGCGTAAACTTTCAGCAAGGTCATGAGAGCTGATATCTACAAGCCGCCTACAGACATAGGACTGCATGGTGGTATACTCGACATTCATTCTCAAACTAGCAAAAATTCATAGAGAAGTTCAGAATTGAAGGAAAAACTCATAGTTAGAATAAATTGAAGGATCGTGTTAACAGTAGCACCTGTAACAAGCCAAACTTTTGACTATCAAGATATTATTTGCTTTGGTTTAAGAGTTTCACGAGGTTGTCCTGTTAGTGTAACTTCCCAAGAGGTCACCCATCCAAAGATTTATTCTGGACGAGCATGCTTAGGGAGTTTCTAAATAAAATTTCAACCATTACACCAAAAGGCGCATCGATCTTTAAGAGTTTAGCTTCCTTTAACTTAAGGGGTCATAATCTCCCCTAGTTAATAAACTATGTGTCTTCACTCATACATTAGAAAGGCGTAAAATTTCAACAAGGTCATGAGAGGTGATATTTACAAGATGCCTACAGACATAGGACTGCATGGTGGTATACTCGACATTGATTCTCAAACTCGCAAAAATTCATAGAGAAGTTTAGAATTGAAAGAAAAAACTCATAGTTAGAATAAATTGAAGGGTCGTGTTAACAGCACCAGCTGTAATAGGCCAAACTTTTAACTATCAAGATATTGCTTGTTTGGTTTAAGGGTCTCATGATATTGTCCTGTTAGTGTAACTTGGTCACCAATCCAAGGATTTATCTGGGATGAGTATGCTTATGAAATTTCTTAATGAAATTCCAACCATTACACCAAAAGGCCCCTCGATCTTTAAGAGTTTAGCTTAAGGGGTTTTACAGCACTTCCCTGTCTGTTATTTCTCCTCTCACTTTCATCGTGTCATTTAGAGTGAATCTCACCACTAAGTTCAATCTAATACAGCTCTTCCTCCTCTACTAAGGCCTTACTCCTACCTACCTCCTCAGCTTCCTTGTCATCATAGACGGTGAGAATCTGAAGAGTGGTCCTTACACATGTGCACTAGTGTATACCTCTCATCGTATATGAAACACAGTCTCTTCACCCTCTTCTTATATAGCTCCTTCTCAGTGAGCTTCTCAAAGCATCCCTGATTCCACCTCTTACAGCTTCTCCTTTGGGGTCTCTCGAAGGATACTCGGTGTTGGTCCCTTGGATGCTAAAAATGTGGTGGTCATCTTATACGAGCCACCTGAGCTGCTACCGCTAGGCCCTCTCTCCAAGTGATTATGTTCCTTCACTAATTGGGCTAACTCCATAGCCTCCACAAATCACGATGCCTCATCACAATAACTACCACCTGTATCTTTGGTATGAGCCATTTCATAAAGGGCCCCTCCAATACAGTCTCAGAATGATGATCCAGGCCGCTAGCAAGGTACTCAAACCTCTCATGGTACTCCACCACAGATCGTTCTGCTCATAGAAGTCCTATCCCCTGCTGGTTTGGAAACGTTCCAACAAGTTGTCCTTGAACTCCCTCCAGCTCCATATGGGCCGCCTCATGTCTATTTATTAATATCATGTCAATGTCTTCCCCTTCAAATATAGGTCAGCTATCGTCGGTCTATCCTCCTTCGTTAACACATTGATTGTGAAATACCTCTCCGCCTTATAGATCCACGCATGTGCATTCTCTACCTCAAATATAGGCATCTTTAGTTTCTCACCCTCAGATCTCCTCCATTCCCCTGATTCCTCCATAACTTCTCGCCAAGTGGGTGATCCCCCCAAGTGTCCCGATCATCCCTTCCACGCTCATACACAAACCCCTAGTCAAAATACCCCTCTTTTTAAAAATCAACACCTTTCCAATCATAATCAGTCCCCCTTCTTTAAAATTCATCATACCTTTGTTCATACCCAACTTCCTCATGCCTCTTCCCATACCTTCTACCTATCGCCTCCCTATGAATAGGTTCTAGAGGTCTTCTCTCTTCTCCCTCAAAGATCTCCACATCATGATCATCCCTGCAGGTGCTGGAATTTGCATTTTCTCCTATCGACGCTATTGCCTCTGATGCCGACGGTTGGTTGTGAAGATCCAACACCTTCACCATGTCCTCTAGATTGGAGATCTTTTCCTCCATTGATGAAATTTTTCCTCAACCACCGCTTTGATTTGGCTCACTTTTCCTTCAAGACATTTTTCTAAGGCATCAACTTTCATTGCCGCCATAGGTACCTGAATCTTGGCCAAATAGAAAAAAAGAGTAAATTTGGCCTTCAAACCGCAGAAATCAACAATACGGAGGGAAAATTGTAATAAAAATCAGGTAAGTCCTATATTTCAGCCCAGGATACCGCTTTGGTGCCAATTTGATAAGAAGTGGATGCATAATTTGTGAAACTCTATGGATGAAATCAGATTTCAGCAAACCAGAAATTGGAAAAAACTGAGAAAGAACTCACAAGAACACCTTTTTTATTGAAATAGTTATGAAAGAAAGACAATATATAATTGGATCTTCAACTGAAGAGGAAGACCCGGCTCTCCCAAATTCCTAGCTAGCGGCTAGAGCCCACTTAACCTAAGAACAATCCAAATTCAGCAAACAAAATATAACCCTAACCCTAGAAAAACAACATACTTATAGCATACAATAATTTCTCAAATCCCCAAACAACCCTCCTATCTTTTCGTCCAAGCCACCCCCCCCATCCCCCACCCCCCCCCCCCCCCCCCCATTCAAAATTGCCCTTGCACCCCACCCCAAGGGACGGACAATCAGCCTGGGAGGCTCTGTTTTGCCTGGTATACACTATGGCCGATCCAGGGTGGACCGGCCCAATAGCGAGCAGTCCAGAGGGACTAGTCTATCATATCCAGTACCTTTTGCAAGTGGTTTTGAAGCAATCCCCAACCTCCAAACCACCAATATAGTAATCTCAAGATCAGAGTGGCTTTTTTTTTCAATCTCCCAATCGGAAAAAAAAAATTTTGCATGCATAATCTCAGCCCCAAACTAAAGCCTTAAATTGAACAAATTAATAGTCTTAAAATAAGAGTCATGAAGTAGCATTTGTAGTTGTGGTACAAACATCTTCCGTGATATGAAAAGGAACAATGAAACAACCTCAAAGATGCATATTTAATTGCAGGTAAGAAATGAACAGAGGCATAAAGAAAATAGAATGCACCGAAAAGAAATTACCATCAGATCTTCTGTTGGTTCTCCTTTAAGGAAAAGGGGATCATCCAAGATATCGTGAATGCTCCTAATCTTTTCCTTGATGCTTTCTGATTCCTTCTCATCCTCTTCAACCTCATCTCCAAAAGATAATACATTTAGCTTCCTATGAATATGAGTTCCATGAGAGTGTGGTGCATGAGGCAAAACCGTGCAATTATTTTCTTAGTTCCATCTACATTATGAAACTAGCGTCTGAATAATACTCACTTAATAGCTTTTTGTTTTTGCTCTTTTTGATCATTATCAGACTTTGCTGAAGAAAAAAGCCTTTCAGGCACCTGCCTTGGGACTATATCATCAAAAGGATTCCAAACCACCTAACAAGATAGATATATTGTACTCAAATAAACTCAAGTGTCATAACATAAAAGCTGTCAAAAGAAACATAAGATAAAGATCCAAGAACATGAGAGAAAAAGGGAAAAAATACATATTTCATTACAATGCAAGTTTCAAGATAAAGGATCAAAGAAGAGTTTAGCCAATGTCTCTCTGAATTGTTAAGCAAAAAATAAGCTGTTGAATTAATAACTAATTGTGTAAAAGACTTCCCAACATGACGCCAACTCCATTATTAACTAACAATTTCCATTATGAGACAGCTGTGGCTAGAGAAAAGGAAAGAAAAAATAAAGGAAAATAGGCAATAGAATTACAAGCCTTTTAAAAGCATGAAGGCATTAGTTCACAAAAAATCTGGATATGAAATGCGGAAGAGCTAGGTTTTCCACTAGCCACAAAATGTTTTAAGAAAGGTGATCAATTTATTATCCACCAACCTCAACAGAAAGGATTTTTGGAGCGGGATGAATTGGCCTATCATCTTTATCAGTTTCAACATCACCCAACCTAAGAAAATTATAAATGGAATCTCCAGTAACCTACAAAGATTGAAGTAAGTTCCAACAATAATTCCACAAAATAATAACAAATTTAAATCATACCTTTCCGAAAATAGTGTTTTTACGATCAAGCCAATCACATCTGTCCAATGTCATAAAAAATTGGCTTCCATTAGAATGAGGTGAACCGGCATTAGCACATGCCACCAAACCCCTATGGTTAAATCTTAAGCGTGAATGGAACTCATCAGCAAAGGTACCTCCGTAGATGCTTTCACCTCCTAATGAGTTAAATAAACATAACAATAATATAAAAACGAAAAACATATAATATTTGAACTCACCATAAAAATAGACTCTGCACACAGCATGCATGTCAAAAAGAAAAACAATATATGAAAGTGAATGAAGAATAAGGAAAAAAGCGTAATGTTTCCTTATTAGCTGAAAGAAGTAACAAAAGTAGAAGAAGAACCAGAAAATAACACTCAAAACCTTAAGAAAATAATTACAAATGAAAACAAATGAATAAAATCATCACAACAAAATACCATTTGACTTAAATTGTGAACAATTTGTTTGACTATAAATAAATAAATAAAGGAAATTACAATTATTGCGAACATAAGATTAGAAAGGTGCTTTCTTGATGCACTATTCGTCTAAGACGAGGTACTCCAAGGATTTGAACCTTTGTTATGAGGCTTTTCCCTTAACGAGGTACTCAATGAGCCATCGAGCAGGCTGGAGGCATAAGGCCATGCAGATTGGGGCAATGGCCAAGGAGGAAGAAGAGAATGTCTGCAAGGCACTACACGAGAAGCTTTAGGGCTCACCATCCTCTAGTTGCTCTACCGATGTCATCCCTCTCCAAGGGTTGGTCACACTGGAGGAAGTAGCCTGGTGAGTGACAGTCCTGAAAAAGATCATGAACCTCCATGGTGTGGAGGGCGACATTGGCAGCTCATGCAGGGGTGCAAATTCAACAGCAGTGGCTGACTTAAAGGATGACATTGATAGGAAATACTTCAGTTCGCAATTAATCCAAGAGAAAATACTTGAGTTCACAAACAACCCTAGCGATAATTGGTAAAAATAGCAAGAATAATGCAAAAAACGGGATGAAATCAATCCAAAATGATAGATTGTAATAATGGAATCAAAGCCAAGCTAACACAAAGCAAGATACAATTGATCCTCAATTCGAGAGTAGAATTGTTCTCTCCCAATCTCTCGACAAGAACTCTAGAGCCCAAGACGCCAATGAAAGAGCCCAAGACGCCAATGAAACTTCAAAAGAAACAAATCAAAGCATAACCTAACCCTAAAACGTCTCCTCCTATTTAATACATAAACTTTCTAAATCAAAACTCCCTCCAAAGCCCTAGCCGCCCCCTTCTTTCTCCTTTTAGATTCAATTTGAATAGTGAGACCAACTATAGTGGGCAGCATAGAGGGGAGGAGGCGGTATTAACCCGCCTCCTATAGACAAAAACCGGCTGTGGGTGGGCCGGTTCAAGAGTTACGGCCATTTCAAGAGGAACCGGCCTAACAATACCGCCCTCCCAAAGAATCACCTTGTCCTCAAGGTGAAAACAAGAAAGCTGATGTTTCACCCCTCGTATGGCTCTCACGTGGCATCGTAGTCAGGAAGATTGCTGCAGTTAATCAGCACTTCCATAATTCCATCTTCTTTCTGGAGAACCTCCATCAACTCTAAGGATTCCAGAATCACCTGTAAATCCTCAAGAAGTGTCACCGGTAACTCCGAGCTGGTTGTATAATCTCCAATGGCCCTTCTCAATTGAGATACATGGAAAACCAGATGTATAGTCGCCGTTGGTGGTATTTTCAGCCGATATGCTACCGCTCCAATCGTCTTCAATACTTCATAAGGCCTAAAGTACCTTGGAGCAAACTTCTCATTCCTCTAGTTGGCGACTGTCTTCGGCCTGTATGGTCGGAGCTTCAAGAACACCCTCTCCCCTACTTCGAACTAGATGTCCTTCCTATGCCCATAGCTTGTTTCTTCATAATATATTGAGCTCTTAGTAGATGTCTCTTTAACACCTCTAATACTCTGTCCCTCTCCTCCAAGTACTCCACAGTAGAAATTAGAGTACAGCTACTCCTAAAGTGCATCAAGTGAGGAGGATCCCTTCCGTACAACACCTTGAATGGGGTCATCTGAAAAGCAGAATAATAAGAGGTGTTGTACTAGTACTCGGCCCATGATAGCCACTTGGCCCATAGCCTGGGTGTCTCCAACACAAAGCATCTCAGCTAGATCTCCAAGCTCCCGTTGACCTCTTTTGTTTGGCCATCCGTCTGTGGGTGATAAGCCGTGCTTCTCTTTAGAACTGTCACCTGTAATCTGAACAACTCCTTCCAAAAATGATTGAGGAACATCTTATCTCTATCTGATACAATAGCCACTAGCACTCCATGCAATATAATCATCTCTTTGATGAAAGCTGAAACACTATCACCGCGGTGTATGGATGTTGGAGGGGAATGAAATGAGCATACTTGCTTAATCTGTCCACCACCACCATGATCACCATGAAACCTTCTAAACGGGGCAGCCCATCTATGAAGTCCATGGAAATCTCCTCCCTTACTCGTCCCGGTAAAGCCAACAATTGTAGTAGTTCTCCTGGCGACATAGCTAGGTATTTGTTCTTTTGATATACCTCACATCTAGACACCATCCCCTCCACATCTCTGTGCATCCCCTTCTAGTATAGCTCCGAGGCTAACCTTCTTTATGTCTTTTACACAGTTGAATGGCCCCCAAAAGCGCTTTCAAAAAACTTCTAGAATAAGTTTGGAATGTGGATTGAGGTCCAGAGCATCACAAACCTCCCCTGATACAGCATTCTGCCCCCCACCAATGAGTACCCTGGGTGGCTACCCCCTTACCTCAGTAAATCTGTCATAATCTTTCCCAACTCCTCATCCCTAACGCTCTCCTCCCTAATGGCCTCCCAATTCAGTATCAAAGGAACCGATATTGCCACTATCTGTAGCTCCCCCATACATCTGGATAAGGCAACGGCTTCCTTATTCTCCACTCCTAGCCTATACTGGAGTTTGAAATCATGCCCCAACAATTTGGAAAGCCATCTCTGATACTCCTCAATCACCATCCACTGCTCCAACAAGTACTTAAAGCTTTTTTGGTCAGTTCTGGCAATGAAATGCCTACCTAACAGGTAGGATCGCCACTTCTTGATGGCTAAGACGATGGTCATCAACTCCCTCTCATAGACTTATTTCAGCCTGGCTCCGACAGTCATCACCTAGCTGAAGTAGGCAATGGGTTGACGATTCTGCATGAGTATTGGCCCTAGTCTATATCCTGAAGCATCTATCTCCACTATGAAGGCCTGGATGAAGTTTGGTAAAGCTAAGACTGGTACAGTAGCCATAGCCTTCTTTAGTCTCTCAAATATTGTTGTGGTCGCCTCTCCCCATAAGAACACATCTTTCTTCAGCTGCTCTATCAGTGATCATGTGATAGTGTTGTACCCTTTTCCAAACCTCCTGTAATATCCCGTTAGTCCAAAGTATCCTATCAACTCCTTCAGATTCTTAGGTAAGGGTCACCTCAACATAGCCTCAATCTTTGACTGATCGTTGCGACCCCTTCTTTGGACACAATATAACCCAAATACTCTACAATTGTCTAGGTAAAATAGCACTTCTTCAGGTTGGCTCTCAGCTGATGTTCCTATAGGATTACCAAGATCATCTTCAAGTGCTCCAGATGCTCCTCAGTTTTGTTGTACACCAGTATGTCATAAGAAAACACCATAACAAAATTCTGGAGGTAATGCTAGAACACACTGTTTATCAGCGACTAGAAAGTAGCAGCGGTGTTGGTAAGCCCAAACGGCATTACCAGAAACTCATAATGCCCCTCGTGTGTCATGAAAGTTTTCTTTGAGATATCTACCTCCCTCATTTGGATCTGATGGTATCCAAACTTCAAATCAAGTTTGGAGAATATCACAGTTTCATACAGTTCATCCAAGAGCTCATCAATCACAGCAATAGGGAACTTATCTAGCATTGTTCCCTTGTTCAAAGCTCTGTAGTCCAAACAAAACTGTCAACTCCCATCCTTCTTCTTGAGTAGTAGGACTGGACTAGAGAAAGAACTCACACTCAGCCTGATGATCCCAGCCTCCAGAATCTCACGGATCAACTTCTCAATCTCATCCTTCTAAAATTGAGGATATTGGTAGGGCCTGACGCTGATGGGTGACACTCTTTCCCTCAAGGCGATGGCATGCTCCTGCTCCCTCGGTGGGGCAAATCCCTGTGGTGGCTGAAACACCTCTTAGAATTATTGAATCAACTGCTGTATGGAGAGGGGTATGTCACCTCCCTCCTCCAATCGAGCTCCCTCCAAACAGTGCAGCTCCATCAAATATTCTCCACCCACCTCACCTCCTCTATGGTCCTTATTAAAGACTTGAGAGATACTCCAGTACTTGTCAGCCCTGCATCATCTTGAATCACAGTTTTCTTCTCCTTACCACTAGTTCCATTCTCAGGGTTCCCTAATTGACCTTGGTATCTCCCGAGGTCTGTAGCAACTTCATCCCCAGGATGACATCAATACTCCCCAACTCAAAGGGAAGAAAATCCTCCCTCACCTGTATCCCTGAATGGTCAACACCACTCCCCTACAAACTACTCTACCCATTTCCACCTTTCTCGTGCACATCATCACCCCATAGCTAAGGGTGCCAATTCGGGTCAATGGGTCGGGTTCGGGTCAAGCCCGAAATTGACCCAACGCTATTTGACACGACCCGAACCTGACCAATTTTTGCAAACGGATCAAAAACTGCAAGCCGGACACGACCCGCCGGGTTGACACAACCCGACACGAAAACAGCTGAGGTTGTGGACATAGGCGACAAGATGGACGGCGGCGTGTGAAGGCGAGAATCGCGAGGCCGAGGCAGACGACAGCCAGGTTGAGAAGCTGCCTCGTGCGACCTGGACGAGGAGGTGAGGCGCTACCGCGTTGCCTCTTGCAAGTGTGACCGTGTGCTGCATGGTCCACCATGGACCTGAAGGCGTCTAGGCCGAGGCGTCGTGCCCGCGTGCCACGTGCAGAGATGGCTGGGCGTGACCGCATCTGCGTGAGAATCGCGAGAGACGGTGAGGTGCTATTGCGGGCTTGTGGCATAGGCTTATGGACCCGGACCCAGGTCAATTTAGAGTTTCCAGGTCAACCCAAATCCGACCTGTTTTTTCAAACGGG